CGACCGCCCAGATGCCCCCGCCCCTGTGCGCCGCCGGCCCTGTTTTCTCAGGATCATTGCTCCGGATCAACATGTTTATACAGCCATGTCAGGGCCGAGGGCTTCAAGACGTCAGCAGGACGCAGACCCACAAGGCCACTGGCACAAGCCTCCCTATAGTCAGCCATAGCGCGGAGGACGCGCTGTGTTCCGCACTGCCGTAGCAAGGCAGCAGCACTCATTGCCTGGACGGATTTGAGCGCAGAGGAGCCTGTGCCACCCCCGCCGACGCTGCCAAGGCGACGCATCTGTCGCTTGATCGAGCTGATGAGAGACTCCGCGCAGTTGTCTCCAGCAGGCACCAGAAACTCCCGCGACTTCTCTGCAGCAGCAGGCCGCTTGCGCGCGGCGTGCCTGGAGAGCATGGTCTTGGTCTTGTCGATGAGGTCCTTTTTCTTGAGGCGGGCTGTTGGGGTAAAGAGCTTTGTCTGATGGTTCACGCCGGAGAGCACGGGCAGATCCAGCTCCTTGGCCACGCCGCGCCATGCTCTAGCACCGTCAGGCGCCAGGACTCAGCCAGGCTGCACCCGCTGCAGCGCAGTGCGCACCTCATTTTTTTTCTCTGGCCCCATGCCTCTGCCGCCCTTTTTGCTGGTGACAGCAGGCAGCGGCCAGGCTGCCCACTGCTTTGTGCCTCTAGCTTTCAAGACTAGAGTGCGGCCCCGATGCTCCTTTGCTCGCGGGTCAGCAGGTGCCACCTTGCGGCTTCCTGTGCGCCCGCTGTCAGGTTCAATGACATCACCTTTGAACTTGTGGCGCAGAGCGTGCCGCAGCTCAGCCCAACAGAGGGAAATCTTCATGGCCAAGTAGTATCTGTCGACTCTTTTTCTGGCGCCGCCCAGAGTCTCGTCGACTTGGCGAACCACCTGCACAGCGGAGTCCTGGGGGATTTTCGCACCGAGGCAAAACGCACACTTCAGCAGAGCGCAGTAGTCGTGGTCATACCCAGCGGACCCCTCTGAAGCCAAAGCTGTAAAGGCAACTGCTGGCTGGTACAACCGCGGGCGCTTGGAGCTGCGGCGAACGGGTCCTGGTCCAGGTAACGCGACTGAACGCCTTCAGTGCTGCTTGAAGCCTTGGTGTTCTTTGTGATCTGCTTCTTTGGCTTGGAGGGAGCATAGGACAGGCCATGCTTTGTGCGAAAGGCGTTGTTCTCTGCCACCTTCTTGGCAAACTTGCCTCTACCCGCTGTCGTGAGAGTAGATTTGCCCAGCTTAGCTTTGCAGGCTATCTTGCCCATCTACTCACTCGTGCGGAATGCGAAAGCGGACCCGGGACACACGGGGCACTGCAGCGGTCGCGGCAGGCCTGCGAGCAGCCAATGCGGCTCTAGCCGTGACCTCTGCCTCGTGCTCAAACCAGTTCCACTCCGCCAGGTCGAACAGCCTGTGACAGTCTCCAAACTCAAACTCGTGATTCCAAAACCAGGAAACCCTAAACTGTGTCTAGGGGTCCAAACCTAAATCTAGAAACCCTAAACCCAAAAACCCTAAACTGTGCCTGGGGGGTCCAAGGTTAAACCCTAAACCAAGAAACCCTAAAAGAAACCCTAAACCTAAAAACCCTAAACTGTGCCTGGGGGGTCCAAGGTTAAACCCTAAACCAAGAAACCCTGAAAGAAACCCTAAACCTAAAAACCTAGAAACCCTAAACCCAAAAACCCTAAACTGTGCCTGGGGGGTCCAAGGTTAAACCCTAAACCAAGAAACCCTAAAAGACACCCTAAACCTAAAAACCCTAAACTGTGCCTGGGGGGTCCAAGGTTAAACCCTAAACCAAGAAACCCTGAAAGAAACCTTAAACCTAAAAACCCTAAACTGTGCCTGGGGGGCCCAAGGTTAAACCCTAAACCAAGAAACCCTGAAAGAAACCCTAAGTTGGCGGGTGTCCTCGCAGCTGTAGCTGGATGCGTCCACACGCAAGCGGCTTGCAAGCGCGCGACCTCACCTGGAGACAGCCATGGCTCCACCAGCTGCAGCTGGGTGAAGGACACCATCTCGAGCCGACACCCCTGCACAGCCAAGCCTGGCTGTTGCTCTTGGGCTAACAATGGGCGTTGAAGGTAATGTATGTATGTATGTAATTAATGTATGTATGTATGTATGTATGTAATGTAATGTAATGTAATGTAATGTAATGTAATGTAATGTAATGTAATGTGTATGTATGTATGTATGTATGTATGTATGTATGTATGTATGTATGTATGTATGTATGTATGTATGTATGTGTGTGTATGTATGTATGTATGTATGTATGTATGTATGTATGTATGTATGTATGTATATGTATGTAATGTATGTATGTATGTATGTATGTATGTATGTATGTATGTATGTATGTATGTATGTGTATGTATGTATGTATGTATGTATGTATGTAATGTATGTATGCTTGTATGTATGTATGTATGTATGTATGTATGTATGTATGTATGTATGTCTGTAAATGTATGTATGTATGTATGTAAATGTATGCATGCATGTAATGGTAGGTATGTATGTATGTATGCTATGCTATGCTATGCTATGCTATGTTTTGTTATGTTATGTTATGTTGTGTTATGTTATGTATGCATGTATGTATGTATGTATGTATGTATGTATGTATGTAATTATGTATGTATGTCCTTGCACTTTCCCTTTGCTCCCCAGACATGGTTTTCCAGCGTTTTCGCAAACAGGACGTCCAAAAACACCGAGTTTTTCCAGATTTTCGGCAAAAGGATGCAGGAAGCCCAAGCCAGCAAAAAGGCCGGCAGGAGGAATCGAGCCTGGGACCCCTGTTTTGCGACACCGGCTCCCCGAAGACTACGTTTAGTGGAACGTCATCAAATTGCCGCGCTGTACGTGGGCCCCCCCCCGTGTTCTGTTTTACAGACCATTGATCTCCCGCAACATTTGGCTCAAGGGCCCCTTTTGCATAATCACGACCATCAGGGACAATCCATCCTCCAATCATCCATTACTGGCATATTGGACTCTCTCCGGAATAGATCCAGGGACCAACAACGACCTCAACTACCACAGGGTTCCAGTTCCCTTCGGGGATAGGCACCTGGGGCAGTGGGCCTCAATTTGTGGTAGCGGAGCGGGTTTTCCGCAGAGATCCTGGGAAGATGTCATCAGATGGAGAAGGCTTCATGGAAGCCTATACAAGTTCGGCAAAGCCGAGCTATACGGAGGAAACACTAAATTTATCGATGACCGCCAAGCAGCCGCCATCGTACGACGGAAAAGTCAGCTGGTTCAGGTATGAAGAACTCGTGGACGACTGGGTGACCATCACAACGGTGGAAGCACCAAAGAGAGGACCTCTCCTGAAGAGTAGACTTACTGGAGATGCATATATGTACAAGGCAGTCCTCCAAAATGACCTTTTGCAAGATCCTGATGAAGGAGTCAACTATTTCAAGAACACGCTGAAGAAGTACTTTTTGAAAGGTGCGACCAACGTGTATCTGTACAGACTCCTCAGTTTCTTCAACCATAGAAGGCAGAACCAAGAGTTCCTCATTTTTACCTCAAAATTCGAAATCCTTCTCATGAGATTGAAGGCAGCATGGATGGACTTGATGCCCGTTTTCACGGCACAGTCGACAATCCGTACAGGACGCACATGCAAGAACAATTGCTCGACATCAGCAAACAGCCGGTGCTCGAGCACCGCCTCCAGCCCTGCTCAATGAGGACGATCCTACGCAGGACAGACAGCGGGACGCATTTCCCTTCGGGGATAATCTCATTGCACAGTTTTTCATCATTCAAAGTGAGTTGTCAGATCAACAAAGAGAACGACTCACAAGTGCAATGTCATTGAGAAACATCTCACTCGAGAATTATTCCTATGAGATGCTGAAGACGCACTACCATGAACTCTTCATCACAACGAGGACATCGATCCAAGACCCATCCATCCGACCTCAGGGAGGCAACCGAAGCAACACATTCTTCATCATCGAACAAGGTGAATATGAAGGAGAAGAAGGCTTCTGGGTTGAGGATGAAGAAGGACTTGAAGGATTCATGTCAAACAACAGAGGTTCTGGGTCCTCGAGGAGAACGATGCGTTCATAGCAAGAAAAGTGTCGGGGCGGAACTTCAAGTTCAAGAAGAGAAAAGGAAAAGGAAAATCAGGAAACAAGAAGGGCAGTCCCCAACGAGGTGGCTTCAAACCCTTCAGAAAAAGCGGTTATGGCGGAAAGGCCAATATGGCCAACGAAAACTATGATCCCTACGACCAGGCATATTGGGGAAAAGGCAAAGGAAAGAAGGGAAAGAAAGGAAAATCAAAATTCCAATATCCCTATGATGGAAACAAAGGTTATCCATCCTATGAGAGTGGCAAAGGAAAGAGCGGACAAGAAAAAGGAAAATCCAAGACGTTCGCAGCCACCGCAGAGAAGACGGAGGAGCAGCCCGCCATCCAGCAGACTGCACCATCCATAGAGCCTACCTATGCCGGTTGGACAGACCAAGATTGGGATCAATCATGGACATGGAACGAACATGGCTGGTACTCATCCCATGAGACATCCAGCACAGGACAAGCGTTAATGGCATTCCATGATGCATATGAGTATCCTGGGAAAAAGGCCATCCACGAGAAGCTGATCCAATCAGATACAGTTTCAGAACACAATCTGTCCGTCACAACAAATCACAGCCTTTTGGCAACAAAGCTGATGGCGCCTGTCATCAACCCTCAGCACAACCCGACCTATGCGATTCTGGACAATGGATGTACCAGATCTATGGGCAGCTGGCATGCAATCCAGCGTTTTACCCATGCAATCGAACCAATGAAGGACATCATCTCCTATGAGTACATCCCGACCGAGACCAAGTTCACTTTTGCAAACGGAGAGACCGCCAGGGTAAATTGGACCCTGCATCTTCGATATCACACAACTCCTCCGTGCAGTACCAATATCGACGTCCTTGAACAAGGAACTGTACCGATCCTTCTCAGCATCAGCCAGATGCGGAACCTCTACATGACCATCGAGCACACACCTCAATGTGATAAGATCACATGCAAGGCCTTTGGCATGAACCGTCAAGCAGTTCCAGTATCCGGTACAGGACATGCGCTTGTCGATCTTGCTGGAGTTGCAAGAGTGAAGGCACATGGAGAAATTGCTCATAAAGGCCTCACCAACTATGTCTATGACGATGATAACAGCATCAAATTTCCCTCCGGGGATCTCACCAGGAGCGAAACTGTTTGTGCAGCAAAAGCAAACTTCGGCATGTCTACAATCCGACCAACGGTCTCGTGAACATCCTCATGAGAGCATATCAGAGACTGTGGAATGCGACGAAGAATTTGCCACTCGTGGACAGAATGGAGTATGCAATGGAGACTTCGTGCACCCTGAAATCCATTGTCCGTCATCACCTGCGCATGAAATGCGGATCAGGTTTTGATCGAACATTCCCAGATGTGATGATGACTATCGTATTTGGATGGGGCAAAACGAACATCCAGCAGGATTTCCGGAAGGTCGAGATGAACGGTATGGATGATGAACAACTGGAATTCATGCGGAACCATCCAACCAAGGCCATATTCGATTACCAGGTCTCATCCGCAGAGCGCTACAAGCACGTGAACAATGAAATGTTCATGAACGGCTCGCAGGACTCCGACTCCCACAGTCTTCTCATGGTTTACATCCGCAGCAAGTCTGCAACCAGTAAACGCAGCTCTGAGAGATACCAGGATTACGTCAAGAAGAAGCAATCATCCTGGAACGCAGGAGTACAAGGACTACAACAAGCAGTGGGGATATCAGAAGCAGTGGAAGGACTATAGCACTTCGACCTGGAATGATTATGGAGACCATGGCAGTCAATCCGACAGCAGCCGCCGATGGTATCGTCGATCCGACTGACCATGAAGATACGTTCAGCACCACGAACAATCCAGATGATTGATCCTCCTCGTCTACAAGACTATACCATGAGTGAGAGATCAATAGTTTCACAATTGTTCCGCGTGTACATAGCGTTGCACATCCCCCTTTGATACAATTAGGTATCCAAAAAGAAGCAGTACATAGTGTTTCCAATTTCGAAGGCCAAGACATTTCATCCAAGCAGAAAAAGGATGAATCCGGCACTTTTAATCACATGGCTACGACACACATCAAGGCTACGGTCAAAGGCCATGAAGCCAATAGTATTTCATACTTTGTGCTGGAGGTCAAAAGAAATTTGTGTCTGTTTTGTGTGCTGTTTTACAGACCATTGATCTCCCGCAACATTTGGCTCAAGGGCCCCTTTTGCATAATCACGACCATCCGAGCGTGAGGACAAAAGAGCCATTGCAGGCCGCTTACAGGATTATCCACAAGACAATCAATCCACCAGGGACAATCCATCCTCCAATCATCCAGGGACCAACAACGACCTCAACTACCACAGGGTTCCAGTTCCCTTCGCGGATAGGCACCTGGGACAGTGGGCCCCCCCCCCCAAACCCCTACGTATTTGACGTCGGGCGGGGGGGGGGGGCTAGGGGGGGGGGTATCCTCTATCCTCTAGTAAGTATCCGACACGCTGAACAACGTCGGCGGATATGCATCTCCCAATATCGCATGAGGATGAATAGAAATTGAGCATGATTAAAGCCCACTTACGAAACCGTTTTGAACTTTTTGGCACCGCAGTTGGGAGTTTGCCACTGCAAAATAGGAACCCATAAAATATGTTGCCCCATACTTCCACTTAGCATTGTAAGTTGTCATAATGATGATTTCCAATGGCTACCATTGACACATTCAAACATTGAAACCCTGACCATCTTACATGCGAAGTTGGACACTCCACCTTGCAAGTCATCACACCAGCTAGCAACTGGGATCCACTAAGCCGTTGCTCCGTTGCACGCATGCTCTTCCGCTGAGCCCACTGCCGGGCTTGACCAAAGACCACTTGATGTGATGAAATAGTTGAGATGCAAATCTAATTGAACGAACACCTCCCATCAGCGTCCAGTTCCTTTGTGCAGTCACGAGGTCACCTGAAGGTCACCGAAATTGAGGAAACGTTACAAAGTAGGAAGTTCCTTTCAAACAAGGACACTCCACGAGGTTTCTAGAACCGGAAGCAGACGCAACTTTGTTTGATGTGTGTGTGCGCGCGTCAGTGTGTGCCCTGTGTTGTTGCAGTTGATCGCGTGTGAACAAGTGGGGCACGAAGACCCTTTGAGCAAAAGGCACAGTACATGACGCGGTATATCAGCCAAGGTATGAAAGTAGTTTAGAGATAAGTTGTTCTGTCTCTGGATCAAATTTGTTCCCTCGTCAAAGCACTCAACTACCATATGATTGGTGTGGTTGTGTATTAATGTTCGAGGCAACTATTGCGCATTCCCGCGTTGAGACTTACAATTGGGTGCGCGCGGAAAGCGCACATGTTGACCATACTTTCAGACCTGGCATCAACAGGGGCTTCCCATTTGACGCTAAGAAACATTTGGGACGCGGTTGTCCCTTCGCTGTGGTCAGGGGCCAACCAACACGGCTTCCAGCCATCTCAGCTAGTCAATCGAGCCGAGGTGAGTGGGTTGGGTCGGTGAAGTGCACAAAAGCCCGCATGTAACGTAGCAGAGGCTACAGTTGCGGCAATTGCTACCACAGTTGCGTCATGTTTTGCGACATCCAGCGTGTTCGCGTTTCAACGTGTCGCACTGAGGTGCGATGCCTTCGAAGCTTGCAGTCCGAGCTCAGCGCTTTGCTGCCGGTCCGGCGGCCTGGGGAAAGGGGGGTGGGTTTATTGGAGGGTTCTCGTTTTGGGGGTGAACAAGGGGGACCAAGAGGAAAACTGCAATTTTGGGGGTCCCCATGTTGTGACACATACCAATGAACCGCTGGGCCCTTGAAAATGCCGCTAGAGTCTTTTATGAGTAGCCTAAGCCGTGAGCAATGCTGCCCGAGGCCTGATGCAACACAACAGAATCTGCATGGATGCGCAAACAAGCGGTTGGCCTAGAAACACAGATTGAGATCTGCCTGAAAGTGAAGCAACCAGATCGGCATCAATAAGCCCCAGGCACAGAGACTGGGGAAGGGTGCCCTCAATCTGTATGAAGGCTTGGACAAGCGATCTTGTTCGAAATGGCAACTGAGCCGTGATAATGAGACACCTTGAAGCCCTTGCTTGCCGCAAAGACGTACCTCCTTGTTTGCAATGTGCACCAGACTTTGCCTGGCAGATGCTGGCAAATGTTGGGAGACGAATGAGTGAAAGACCAGTGCCGCTCCCACATATCGCTCCAGAGACTTGTAAAGTCCTGTCTTTTGGTCTTGGATTGCCAAGTCAATGTAAGTGCTGACCTTGGCAAGGCTGTTATGGTACTGAAGTCAAGTGTTGCTTATGTGGTCACTGTTTGATCGGAATCCATGGACGGATGGTTGCGTGGGCTGGCATGGGGAATGAGCCTGTGCTTGGCGTACAGGCCTAGACCGTTATTCAAAATTAGCTCTCTTTGGCTCTAGCAAGTAAAGCTTATGTCAAGGGCGACTGCGAAATGGCAACCACGGATAAGTCGGGACAAGTTGTTGGGACTCACTTGAGCTCACTCCCCCCAAGATTGGCAAGAGTTGCGCATGTAATAGCACTTTGCAGGCTTGGAGTATCATCAGCTCTTGCAACGTGTCTTGCACTTTATGGCAGGGTCTGCAGCCAGCATTTCATAGCCTGAACCAGACCCCTCCAAAGCTCACGCACAACCACAGACATTTGCTCTATATAATCGTGCGCTGCCTAGCAAGTGACACCTCCTGTAAATGTTCCTTTTGTGAGTCTGTTGATGGACGATGTTCTTCGAACCGTGGGTGTCTCACATGGATTCAGATGCAAGCCTTCGGCCATGTCGAGGAAGCAACACGCTCTCGTGTTTAAATCTGCCGTTCTTATTATTGCTACCTCCGGGGGGGGGGGGGGGCTCTGGAAGCTGCCTGAGAGAAGACTTCTAGCCGCATTTACCGGAGCTTGTGGAATGCTTGCTGTTTTGTGCTTTGGACATTTGTAGCGCGCGCCAAACGCTGAGCAAGGTTGTCAAACAGATAATTCCCTCCCCCATCTTGAAACCCTGGTTTCTCTGGTTTCATGTTTGCATTCCCTCTCTGCTCAGGTTGCGATTCCCGTGAGCATGCCTGAGGTTGTCCGAGACCCAGGATGTTCAGCGCCTATTGCATTGTCCAACATGTCCAGGTCCAATCCTACTTAAGTCCATCAAAGCAGCACTGTCCCCATGTCCATGTTGGATCGGGTCAAATATGAGCTGCCCCTTGACAAGAGCACTGCTAGAGAGGGAAGAGCAGGCAAGTGCCCAAGTGCCACAATGCCTTATTTGGCCAATTCACATCAAGTCGTGTTCTATCCTGTCCGAGTGAGAGGCGTCCTGGAAGCCCAAAGGGCCAAGTGAGTAGTCTGTGATCGACGCGTTGGTCAAGTCTGCGGCCTTTGGGATCATTGCCTTGCTGCGGGATGGCTGATCGATTTTGGGTTAGGACGGAAGAAATGGCCTTTACACCCTTTCGGATTCAGAAATGTTTGGTTCGAACATCCAATATATATGTATATATATATATCCATTTGTGTCCAGCCCTTTTTGGTTGCAGACAAGGCACAAGGCACCATACCCTCCTTCCCCCGATATTCCCCAAAACGCTAGAGCTTGGCTCGAGCTCTGCACAAAGCTGGGCTCTGCAAGCAGCTCTGCCGCAGCCTCAGCCTGAAGCCAAGCCAGGTCACACAGCAGCCCATGCCCGAGGGCTTTGACCTCGGCCGCTGGCTTAGGTGCAAACGGGTATGGGCCACAACCCGGCTCATGAGGTTCCTTTCAAAACAGTGCCCCCCAAAAAATCACCAGACGCACGCAGACATTTGGATACGTCCATGCATTGCCCTATTTTGCTTGGTGAGCGAGCAGTCTTGAATTGGGAGCCCAG